GAGCAACTGTGCCCAGCCGTAATTCATTATTCTTTTTTTTTTTTTTTGAAACAGAGTTTCACTCTGTTGCCCAGGCTGGAGTGCAGTGGCGTGGTCTTGTGATCTCGGCTCACTGCAACTTCTGCCTCCCAGGTTCAAGCAATTCTGCCTCAGCCTCCTGGGCAGCAGCTGGAATTATAGGTGCCTGCCACCATGTTCGGTTAATTTTTTGTATTTTTAGTAGAGGCGGGTTTCACCATGTTGGCCAGGCTGGTCTTGAACTCCTGACCTCAAATGGTCTACCCACCTTGGCCTCCCAAAGTGCTGAGATTACAGGCGTGAGCCACCACGCCTGGCCCAGAATACATTATTCTTTTTTTTTTTTTTTTTGAGATGGAGTCTCGCTGTGTCTCCCAGGCTGGAGTGCAGTGGCGTGATCTCGGCTCACTGCAAGCTCCGCCTCCCGGGTTCCCGCCATTCTCCCGCCTCAGCCTCCCAAGTAGCTGAGACTACAGGCGCCCGCCACCACGCCCGGCTAGTTTTTTGTATTTTTAGTAGAGACGGGGTTTCACCATGTTAGCCAGGATAGTCTCGATCTCCTGACCTCGTGATCCACCCGCCTCGGCCTCCCAAAGTGCTGGGATTACAGGCTTGAGCCACCGCGCCCGGCACATTATTCTTTTTGTTTGTTTGTTTGTTTTGAGACAGAGTCTTGCTCTGTTGCCCAGGCTAAAGTTCAGTGGCATGATTTCGGCTCATTGCCAGCTCCACCTTCTGGGGTCACGCCATTCTCCTGCCTCAGCCTCCCGAGTAGCTGGGACTACAGGCGCCTGCCACCACACCTGGCTAATTTTTTGTATTTTTAGTGGAGATGGGATTTCACCATGTTAGCAAGGATGGTCTCGATCTCCTGACCTCGTGATCTGCCTTACCTCGGCCTCCCAAAGCGCTGGGATTACAGGCATGAGCCACCGCACCCGGCACGTTGTTCTTTTAAGGATTGTTTGTAAAGCATTTGTTCCAGAGTGTGTGTGTTATGTGTGTACATCTATTTACTGGGGTGTGAGGTAAAATTTTTGAGTCTCAAAGTTCAAAAGCCTCTGCATTATTGAACTACAGGGAACCATTGGAGGATTTTAAGTACAAGAGTTAAAGGTTCACACAAGCTGAGGGAGCAGAGAGTGGGTTATTATTGTGCCTATTAGGCACAGAGTTTAAGCTTTGCAAGATGCAAAGAGTTATGGAATGGATGGTTGTGCAACAAAGTAAATGTATGTAACACTACTATACTGTACAGTTAAAAGTGGTGAAGATACATTTTGTTATGTGTATTTTACTAGAATTTTAAAAAAATAAAACATTTTTTAAATTGCTACTTCTGTATGGTGAGATCAGGGGGAATTTGTTTTCTTCTCTTTCCCAATTTTTCTGTAATGAATATATTTTGCTTTCATAATGAGGAAATTAAAATTATAATTTTTTCATCAAAAAAGAGTTAAAGGCTCAGAGCAAACTTGAAGGTTAATTTGGTGGGGTAGTATGGAGGAGAGAGCCCAGATGATGAGAGACCAGTTTGGAGGCTACCAAAATATTGTGCTCCAGGAACAATATAATAAAATCCATGAGAGTGATAGCTGTGGAAATGAAAAGTAATAGAGACTTAGGGAACAATAACCCTAAGTATATAGGAATAGAAAAGATGGGAGGGAAAGCAGGGTTTGGTGGCTCATGCCTGTAATCCCAGCACTTTGGGAGGCCGAGGGTGGGTGGATCACCTGGGTCAGGAGTTCGAGACCAGCCTGGCCAACATAGTGAAACCCCATCTGTACTAAAAATACAAAATTCGCCTTGCGTGGTGGCGCATGCCTGTAATCCCAGCTACTTGGGAGGCTGAGGCAGGAGAATCACTTGACCCCGGGAGGCTGAGGTTGCAGTGAGCCAAGATCATGCCATTACGCTCCAGCCTTGGCAAAAAGAATGAAACTTCAGTCAAAAAAAAAAAAAAGGTGGAAGGGAAGAGTAAAGAAAATCCTTAAGATTTCTAGCCTAGGTCCTAGAATGATAATATAGTATCTGTTAGAGAAAAATACCAGATAGAAAGCTAATTTGGGAAGGTAAGATACATAGGTAAGCTGACTTTGGGTTTTGCCTGAGACTGGTTCAGAAAGGTCAGGGCTAAGGATAAAGTCTGGGTAGTCAGCTATCCAGAACTGATGATCAGACCTCTGTTGGAACCTCTGTAGGATGAGTTCGTTATCAGAAGAGGTTTGAAGAGCTACAAAAATACAACAGGAAGATATTATACTACATGCTAAACTCTGGGTTGTAGGTTACAAACGGCTATAATTTGAGTAGATAGAAATTAATTTCAGAGAGTCCTCACTGTGGTGAGTATAAGTAGTTTTATGCTGTCGAACTATAACAAGTTAAATATATTACCTATGGTCTTATTTGATTTTGGAGTTTGATATAAACCATTGATTAAAAACCGTTTAGAAGATCATCTGTTTCTCTCCTAATCATTTTAGCTTTTTGTTTAGTAAATGCTTCAATGATATAATAATTCTACATAAAATTAGTTTTCAATAAGTCAAATATAGTTATTTAACTTCAGAGATTTGCTGAAAGGAATTTTTAAAATGCATGCTCAGTCATAGGTATGAAAAGTATTGGCCGGGCGCGGTGGCTCAAGCCTGTAATCCCAGCACTTTGGGAGGCCGAGACGGGCGGATCACGAGGTCAGGAGATCGAGACCATCCTGGCTGACACAGTGAAACCCCGTCTCTACTAAAAAATACAAAAAAACTAGCCGGGCGAGGTGGTGGGCGCCTGTAGTCCCAGCTACTCGGGAGGCTGAGGCAGGAGAATGGCGTGAACCCGGGAGGCGGAGCTTGCAGTGAGCCAAGATCACGCCACTGCACTCCAGCCTGGGCGGCAGAGCGAGACTCTGTCTCAAAAAAAAAAAAAAAAAAAAAAAGGAAAAGTATGAAGAGCTTGAATGGCTTTCTTTGAACAAATTAAATTTTTTATTGTCTTTTTGCACTGAAGAATGATAAAAAGCTTTTAGAATATTTGTAAATACATCTATTTTTAAAAATGAAAATAGTATATTTGGTGTTTAAAAAGCCATTTCATTGACAAGTCACACTGATGGAAAAATAAAAAGCAGAAAAAGAAGCCATTTGATAGCTACTAATTTGGATTTCAAGTGTGTAACAGTTTTTAAATGCATGAGAATGATAGCGCAGATAGTTTTAATCCTTATAGATTCCATTCCAAGCATGCTATTTGTGCGGTGCTATTATATTGGTACAGGTAATATTTTGTCAGAATCTGCATGAGGGATATAAAAATATTTTGTCAGGTAATACCTCTTTGAAATGAATACCTCTTTAAAATGAATATGCTGCCAAAAATCAGACATCCAATCTGCTGATGCCGGAGCTAATGCATAGTTCACAGCGGTGGATTAGCAAATGAAAAGAGGTGCTCTGAACCCAGTAGAGGAAAATAGAAAGTGTCAAGAAAATACTACCATCCTCCTTTCTTTCATCCAAGCTCTTAGATCTTTGTGTGGTGAGGCCCCTTTGGGGATACCCTAGTAACTGTCTGAGCTTCAGCTCCAGGCAGGAGTGCAAACTGGAGATCTCTGGGGACAGCAGCCTGGCTCTGCAGCTCCTGCTTTCCTCTGTGCCGTTGCCTCTGTTGTCCACCCCCTACTGATTTCTTTCGTAAGTAGACAGGGTAAGTGGGCCCCCTACCCTAAAATATTAATCTCGTGATCTGTCATTCCACTATGCTGGTTTCATGTCTTTCTATTTTTAAAAAGGTCTTATCTTTGAGAGACCCCCTTTTAAAATGCAAATACCCCTGGGAGAGGTCAGACCTTAGTTCTTAGCTAACATCTTGATTATCTCTTAGCACCTTGGTTGGTCTTAGTACACATTTGGCTGAGAAGAAGGAATCCCTGGCTAAAAGTGATCAACTAGAAGGAAACTAGCATTTATAATAATAATTTATTATTATTTTATTACTATTGGCAGCTAAGATGTACTGAGGGCCATATTATTAAGTGCCAGGAGTTGTTCTAAGTTAATTCCCTCAACAACCCTATTGGTATTATTACCACTGTTACTTTACAGATAAGAAAACTGAGGTATCTAGCACATAGTTTATGGTCACATAGTAAATCCTGTCAAGTGTTAAACTCGGGTATATAGATTCCAGGGTGTGCTCACTAACCGTTGTACTGTAATACCTCTCTCTTCTACCGTGATGTCTCTCAGATGACATCTAATCAAGATTTCACCCTTTTCACAATTCTGTATAAATAGAATGATGTGTTTAATTATAGATGCCACTTCTTTTGAAGGTCAAGTACTTTATTATCTAAATAGATTTTTTAGCAACAGCTTCAATGAAACAAGCACTTTTTTTGTATTCAAGGGAATTTATTTGCAGAGTAGAGAAAGGAGTAAAGAGGCTAGTGTACAATTTAACACATACATAACACTATCTGAGTTGCTTTTCTTTAAAACGTTATTTTTACAATTTTGAAAGTATAGATTAATAAAGAAAGTACAGAATTTGCAGTCCCATTACCCAGAGATAACCTCAGAATAAATGTATGTATTATCACCAGACTTTTTTCTATTGAGCCTTTTCTGAAGGTGTTAACTCATTCTACATCTTTAAAATTTTGGAATGAAATGATCTTTTTTGAGAGTAAATGCTGGCATTTCCTTCTTCATCTCTGCAAGGATGTTGAACTAATAATTATTTTTGGCCTGGCATGGTGGCTCACGCCTGTAATCCCAGCACTTTGGGAGGCCAAGGCAGGCGGATCATGAGGTCAGGAGCGCAAGACCAGCCTGACCAACATGGTGAAACCCCATCTCTACTAAAAATACAAAAATTAGCTGGGCATGGTGACGTGTGCCTGTAATCTTAGCTACTTGGGAGGTTGAGGCAGGAGAGTCGCTTGAACCCGGGGGGTGGAGATTGCAGTGAGCCAAGATAGCACCACTGCATTCCAGCCTCGGCAACAGAGTGAGACTTCGTCTCAAAAAATAAAATAAAAATTATTTTCTATGATTTACCAGAAACATGTTTAACTAAATTTTCTCTGCGTTCTTTATTTTATCCATTTTGAATCAAAGGTAATATAGAGCCCTAGATTCTTCCCTTAACCTCCAAATTGAGTAAGTTCTCTCAACCAATGTTTATTAAGCACTAATTCTACCTCTGCCCCTTCTTCAAAACTGCTATACTCCTGCAGCTTTAATTTCCTTATAATTTCTGGACTGTTAGTCTCTCTTATCACTCATCTCTTCTCCAGAGCTCTTTGTAATTCAGATCCCTCTGTAACCCACAGATCTGATCGTATCATTCTCCTTTACAGATTTCTTCAGTGGCTCTATGTTGCTCATAGGCCCTAGAAGCAAGCTTGGGGATGATTAGGGCAAGTAATTCTCTGAGTCCCAGGTACCAGCAAGTGGCTCTAGAAGGGGAGTTGCTGGTGTGTGCAGACTTCAGGTGGCCACATGTCCTTGGCCTTGCTGACTACACATTAATGGAGGAGGACTACAGCAAGGAACTCCTAAAGTGGTTGTTTAGGTCTAGATGCAGACCGTGCTACTGTGTGTTGAGAGTAGACCATTCGTGGCAGTAAGGACAGAAGTGGAGAGAACATCTGGGAGCCTTACTGCAGTAATCCAGGTAGGACTTGATTGTAGATTGGATCAGGTTGGTGGCAGTAGAGGCACTAAGTAAGTCAGATTCTCAGTATATTTTGAAGGTAGAGTCAACCATTTTTCCTGAAGGATAGATTGAGAGAGAGAGTGAGTCAAGGATGACTCCAAGGTTTCTTGCCTCAGTACAGGAAGGTATGGGATAGTGGAATATATTAATCACTGATGTCTCACTTTTACCATTAGCAACTATTGTCAAATCCTAGGTGTTCTAATAAAATAGCATATTTGACCAGATTTTAAACCTCTGGAAACTTTGAGAGAGAGAAGTAAATTTAAAATGTGCACGTAAAACGTGTGTGAACATGGGGGCCGGGCACGGTGGCTCATGTCTGTAATCCTAGCACTTTGGGAGGCTGAGGAGGGTGGATCAATTGAGGCCAGGAGTTCCAGCCTGGGCAACATGGTGAAACTATGTCTCTACCAAAAATACAAAAATTAGCCAGGCGTAATGGCACATGCCTGTGGTCTCAGCTACCGGCAATGCTGAGGTGGGAGAATCGCTTGAACCTAGGAGGTGGAGGTTGCAGTGAGCTGAGACTGCACCACTGCAGTCCAGCCTAGGTGACATAACAAGACCCTGTCTCAAAAAAAAAAAAAAAAAAAGAAAAAGAAAAGAAAAAGAAAAAAAAGAAAGAAACGTGAACATGTGAGAGTTGGGACTGGTCAGTACCTGATACCTAAAAATTAAGGAACGATTATGAGATTTTACAAAAACAGGTGGGAAGGAACCAAATATCAACTGCTTTTGCAGTTTTCCTGAGGCCTGGAGGTGGCACTTGCAGGTACCATTGAAATTCACAGTTTCAACTGCCCTAAAAATTTAATGCCTTGGTCATGATACATAGGGTGTTTTTAGTGTTCCGTAACTAGGTCTCCACTCAAACCCTGAAATTTGTCTTTGATTTGTATTACAATGAAAAAGGTGTTTTGTGATCACGACTTTTTAAATAAGATTTCTGTTCATTACATGTAAATAACTTAGAGCAGAAGTGTTCCTGACTTTAACTGATAAAGGAACAAGTTCTGTGTCAAAAATCACGTAAGCTTTTTTTTTTTTTTTAAATAAGCTTATAATTTCAGATAGGCTTAGGCCTGCTAGAATGTGATACAAGCTTATTGCTACCCTCTTCATATTCTTCTTTTTTTTCTCTTTATTTCCTTGTATGTTCCTGAGAATATTCAAATACAAGAGCACTTTCTCCTCTTCTGTCTTTCTCTTTCCCTAAAGCCACCTGTCAAGTCTGTTCAGCCTCAGAGTATGTTACAGAGCTATGAATTAAAGGCAATTATTGATTTACCCAATGGAAAAAAATAAGTTTAATGGTAATTAAATAGAATATCTAATATTATTTATTTAAATAGGGTAATTTTTCGCTGTAGCTACAATTAAAACTACCATTTACTGAGCATTTACCGTGTGTCAGATAAATATTATCTCTCAGTTCTTCAACAATTCAATTGAAGTTGGTATGGTTTAGAGAAGTTAAAACATTTGCTCAAAATCATACATTTAACGTTTTTCTGCCTTAAAACTCAGCCTTTCTTATTTGATTATGCTTTATTAACTCTGCATAGGGCTCAGAATGTTTATAAATATTAGTGAGATATATTTGGGTCTTGCCAACCCCAGTCTTTAAGAAAAGGGGCCAGGCACAGTGGTTCATGCCTGCAATCCCAGTACTTTGGGAGGCCAGGGTGGATAGATGACCTGAGCTCAGGAGTTCAAGACCAGCCTGGGCAACATGACGAAACCCTGTCTCTAGTAAAAATACGAAAAACAAATTAGCTGTACGTGGTGGTGCATGCCTGTAATCCCAGCTACTTGGAGGCCAAGACACAATAATCATGGGAGCCCAGGAGGCAGAGGTTGCAGTGAGCTGAGATTGCACCACTGCACTCTATCCTGGGCCACAGAGCAAGACTCTGTCTCAAAACAAAACAAAACGAAAAAGAAATGTAGTTTTGGAAACTGCCCTCAGACTGCTGGGTAAAAAGGATAGATCTTAAGCTATTTCAGTGGAAAGTGATTACTACCCATTTTTCACCACTAGATGGTGGCAGAAAGTTAAAAACAAAAGTTAAAGGTGACTCATTAGAGAAAGTGAAGTGTCTGTGCTTTCAGAGCAAGGTAGATGTGAAATCAGGGAAGTCTAGAGCAAGGGAAATGTGAGAACTGCCAATGGTATTATAACAGCCTGGAAATTGGGAGCAAAGGACACAAATCTTTATTATGCTTGGGAAAAATATGAAAAATATTGGCGTCTTGTTTTTATTAATACTCGACATTGTTCTGTTTAGTTTTCAGATGCTTCAAGTGTTGTGAACAGAGACTTGTTTGGATTATGCGTTTCTCAGCTAGACTAAATAAATGCTAACAATGGATAAGTGCAAACATGTTGGGCAGCTGCGGCTTGCTCAAGACCATTCCAGCCTCAACCCTCAGAAATGGCACTGTGTGGACTGCAACACGACCGAGTCCATTTGGGCTTGCCTTAGCTGCTCCCATGTTGCCTGTGGAAGATATATTGAAGAGCATGCACTCAAGCACTTTCAAGAAAGCAGTCATCCTGTTGCATTGGAGGTGAATGAGATGTATGTTTTTTGTTACCTTTGTGACGATTATGTTCTGAATGATAATGCAACTGGAGACCTGAAGTTACTACGGAGTACATTAAGTGCAATCAAAAGTCAAAATTATCACTGCATGACTCGTAGTGGGATGGTTTTACGGTCCATGGGTACAAGTGATGATTCTTATTTCTTATATGACGGTGCGCAATCTCTGCTTCAAAATGAAGATCAAATGTATACTGCTCTTTGGCACAGGAGAAGGATATTAATGGGTAAAATCTTTCGAACATGGTTTGAACAATCACCCATTGGAAGAAAAAAGCAAGAAGAACAATTTCAGGAAAAATTAGTAGTAAAAAGAGAAGTAAAGCGAAGACGGCAAGAATTAGAGTATCAAGTTACAGCAGAATTGGAAAGTATGCCTCCAAGAAAGAGTTTACGTTTACAAGGGCTCGCTCAGTCGACCATAATAGAAATAGTTCCTGTTCAGGTGCCAGCACAAATGCCAGCATCAACAGCAAAAGATAAAGTACTCTCTACCTCAGAAGATGAAAGATCTCAAAAAATCAATGACTCCTCAGTTAAACGAAGGCCAATAGTAACTCCTGGTGTAACAGGATTGAGAAATTTGGGGAATACTTGCTATATGAATTCTGTTCTTCAGGTGTTGAGTCATTTACTTATTTTTCGACAATGTTTTTTAAAGCTTGATCTGAACCAATGGCTGGCTGTGACTGCTAGTGAGAAGAAAAGATCTTTCTGTAAGCATCCACCAGTCACAGATACAGTAGTATATCAAATGAATGAATGTCAAGAAAAAGATACAGGTTTTGTTCGCTCCAGACAATCAAGTCTGTCATCAGGACTAAGTGGTGGAGCATCAAAAAGTAGAAAGATGGAACTTATTCAGCCAAGGGAGCCAACTTCACAGTACCTTTCTCTTTGTCATGAATTGCATACTTTGTTCCAAGTCATGTGGTCTGGAAAGTGGGCGTTGGTCTCACCATTTGCTATGCTACACTCAGTGTGGAGACTCATTCCTGCCTTTCGTGGTTATGCCCAACAAGATGCTCAGGAATTTCTTTGTGAACTTTTAGATAAAATACAACATGAATTAGAGACAACCGGTACCAGTTTACCAGCTCTTATCCCCACTTCTCAAAGGAAACTCATCAAACAAGTTCTGAATGTTGTAAATAACATTTTTCATGGACAACTTCTCAGTCAGGTATGGATTTTTTTAAATCTTATTTTCATCATTGGGAGTTCATAAAGTGTAGCCTATAAAAAGGCATATTCTATGTACATCTAGTGTGTTAAGCTAGTACGATTTTCAGGTCAAAATAGATTGTTTTTATAAATATGTGTAGAGAAGTCAGCTCACTCATTTACAATTCCTTCTTTCATGAATCATTGGAAGTAGTTTTACATCCATGGTATCAAAAGCTTTTGGAGGGAGGGAGAAATCAGGAGACGGAGATCTCTAGGTTACCAGTATTACATTCATTATCTGAGGGATTGAGAAGAGGAGGGTTTAATCCCAGAGGGAACAGATTTAAAGATGCTGCTATACTGGGAATGGAAATGGTGCACATGGCCTGGCGCGGGGGCTCATGCCTGTAATCCCAGCACTTTGGAAGGCCATGGCAGGTGAATCACCTGAGGTCAGGAGTTCAAGACCAGCCTGACTAACATGGTGAAACCCCGTCTCTACTAAAAATACAAAAGTTTGCTGAGTGTGGTGGCAGACGCCTGTAATCTCAGCTACTTGGGAGGCTGAGTCAGGAGAATCACTTGAACCCAGGAGGTGGAGGTTGCAATGAGCTGAGACTGTGCCATGGCACTCCAGCCTGGGTGACAGAGCGAGACACTGTCTCAGAAAAAAAAAATAAATAAAGGAAAGAAAGAAAGAAAATGGTGCATACTTGAGCAATTTCAGGGACCAAGGAGTAGCCCTGGAGGACTTCCTATAAAACCAAAGGGTCATGGTCTGAAAGCTTTAACAATAGGTAGGGAAATTTTAAGGTAAACAAAAGTGATTCCATCTATAATAATTTTAAATGATTTTCTTTTATTTTAATTACTGCTCAAAAGTTTCCTTTGTCATGATAAGGTAGACTACAAAACCAGAATCTTCTAAGTAAAGGTTCTCTATGCTGAGTGGACTTACTGGTGAAATATTAATAGACGTAAGGCTCTCTACTTTCCCATAACACATAGATTTAAACAAATTTTTTTTTATAACTGAAGCTATTAGGCTTTTAGGTCATTTCCTTCCCCCTGCACACCTGCCTCTTTTCTTCAGTTCAACTTTCATTGTAATAAGTCCATCTTTTGTTTTTATAGCATACTTTCCTAGAATGTTGTTTAAATATTTCAGATGTAATTCTTCTTAAGGAATATCTATGAAGTTTATTTTTCAGTGTTTCAGAAATGCAAAGACTTTGAGTTAATTAGCAAATAAGAATTGTACTTGTGTTAACATGCAATTTTACTTCTCCATCTTTCTCTGTCATTTCCTTTTTATGCAAAAGTTTTAAAATACACTATTACAGAATGCAACATGTAGTTGCAGGAAACCTATATAATATAGGAAATCTATATAGAAGAAAAGAAAAATCATTCTCTAATCCTATAATCCCACAATCCATAGGTAAAACTATCAATATTTTGGTATATTTTCTTCTAGTCTTTTTTTCTCCTGCACATATATACATATTTTTTCCCATAATTGATCATTTTGCATTTACCTGCTTTTCCCATTTAACATTGTAATGATTTTCCAGTAATTAAAAATATTTCATCATTCTTTTCAAAACATTTCAATGTTCATAATTTTTTGTGTTTTTTTGGTATATTTCTGCTGTTTAACATTTTTTTTTTGAGACAGAGTCTCACTCTGTTGTCCAGGCTGGAGTGCAGTGGTACAATCTTGGCTCACTGCAAGCTCCGCCTCCTGGGTTCACACCATTCTCCTGCCTCAGCCTCCTGAGTAGCTGGGACTACAGGCGTCCGCCACCATGCCTGGCTAATTTTTTTGTATTTTTAGTAGAGATGGGGTTTCACCGTGTTAGCCAGGATGGTCTCGATCTCCTGACCTCGTGATCCGCCCGCCTCAGCCTCCCAAAGTGCTGGGCTTACAGGCATGAGCCATCATGCCTGGCCACATTGTATGTTTATACCATAACTTAGTTAACCATTCCCTTATTGTTGACTGTTGTTAATTTTTTTCATTATTATAATGTCATCAATTAACTTTTTGATTTCCTTATGACAGAGTCCTGGAAGTTGACTTTGTCAGAGTAAGACTTCTGGATACTTGGTGACAAAGTTCTTTCCAGAAAGTGATTTTCTTTTCTATATATATATATTTCTATATATATATATATTTCCAGTAGTATGAGAGTGGCTCTGTGCTTGTATTTTCCATTATAAATGAATTTTGAAATTAATAAAAATTATTGTACCAGCTTTTTGCTTCTCTTTCTTTAATACACTCTTATGGAACTGGTTCTCAGGAGATTTAAGACAATTGGTTGCTGTAATGGCTTTTCCTTTTTATTTATTTATTTTTTATAGAGACAAGGTCTCACTGTGTTGCCCAGGCTGGTCTCAAACTCCTGGGCTCAAGCGGTCCTCCCGCTTTGGCCTCTCAAAGTGCTGGGATTACAGGCATGAGCCACTACACTCAGACTGGGATAGCTTTTTGTGTGTTTTTGCTTTTGTTTTTGTTTAATTCGAGAAAATCCTCAAAATGTCTGGCCCTGGCACTACTGAGTCCTTAGACTATAAACACCAGGAGAGTTCTTTGTGTCAATTTGTGAAATCTAAAATCTGTATTAGAACTGGCTTCTTTATTTCGTTGCCTGTGCCAGAGCAATAGCTTGTATGAAAGAGGTTCTTTATAATATTTCATATCATATGTGAATTGTTAGTTCGTGGAGTCTGTCTTCAGTTATGTGCAGTGTTTGTTGGTATTAAATCCTGCTGAATGTTTCACTGAAGTTACTACTCATTTCCTTTCCGGTTGCTACGTTACCTGTGTAAGTTGTTAAAACAGCTCCATGTTTTTTGTGTTTTCTGTGTTTGGATGGAGATTTTAATGTGATGTTTGCTTTAAATAGGAGTATGACATCATTATTTATGTCACATGTCTTGTCTTTTTAAATTATCAGTTGTCAGGGTCTCAAAATCTGCCTAATGAAAAGATAGTATTTTACTTGTAATATGGTTAAGATTGGATTGGGTTAAGAGGTTGTAGTATTTGGGTTTAGGAAGAAAAATCAGCAAAAGATGGAGAGGCCGGGCATGGTGACTCATGCCTGTAATCCCAGCACTTTGGCAGGCCGAGGTGAGCGGATCACCTAAAGTCAGGAGTTCAAGACCATCCTGGCCAACATGGCGAAAGCCCGTCTTTACTAAAAACAGAAAAATTAGCTGGGTTTGTGATAGCTGCGCCTGTAGTCCAGCTACTCAGGAGGCTGAGGCAGGAGAATCGCTTGAACTTGAGAGCCGGAGGTTGCAGTGAGCCGAGATTGCGCCATTGCACCCTGGCACTGGGGACAGAGCGAGACTCCATCTCAAAAAAAAAGATGAAGGAGAAACAGTGAGGAACCTCAAGCCTAATGACATAAATACATTAAATTTAATGCATGTGAATATACATCATATGTATGTTTCTATGTATACATATACATCATGTGTTTCTATTCAGTGTGTCCACAGTTTGGATTTTTGCCTAAATTTAATGCCCTTAGAGCTTTTTGAATGCCCAGTAGTTAAAGCAACCAATTCATGATGGCTCTGATAACAGTCTTTTGGAAGGAAAAATCATAAGGAAAGATTTCCTGACAAGAATATAAGGCAGATTATTCAGAATTCTAATGGTGCATTTTCATGAGAAAAGCTTATTTATTGGCAGTGATCTCTAGTGAAAAGAGTTAATGTTTTGACGGAAAGATTATAATCTTAGGAACTCATTCTCATTTGCAGGTTACATGTCTTGCATGTGACAACAAATCCAATACCATAGAACCTTTCTGGGACTTGTCATTGGAGTTTCCAGAAAGATATCAATGCAGTGGAAAAGATATTGCGTCTCAGCCATGTCTGGTTACTGAAATGTTGGCCAAATTTACAGAAACGGAAGCTTTAGAAGGAAAAATCTACGTATGTGAGCAGTGTAACTGTGAGTAAAGACGGTGTGTTCTCGGTGCTTTCCTAGGAATGATACAGAGAAACGCAGATGACAGGAAGCTGAAAGAAATCTTTAGCGGTTATGAAAATGAACTTTTTCTCAGTTTGTCAAAAGAAACAGACATTTTCACTTGTAATTGGCGTTTATGAACTATGCATTTGTTTGGCCATACTGGTGGAATTTAAATTGTTTCTGATCTTGTAGACAATTTTGGGGAGAGAAGATTCATGACAAGTTTAAATATGATATGTGGAGCAGAATAAAATAGCAAAGAGGAATAATGAAAGGAAAGCATGGCATGTAGTGTGAATGAAACACTTGTTTTATGAGCTTTTTCTTGCTACATATCAAAATGATATGTAGATAAATGTATGTGTGTGTGTCTATACACATAAAATAGGAAATACCATATGCAGGACTCCTGCTGTGGAGATTGGCTTCGTCAAAACAAAGATTTATTCAAAACCATGCCCTGTCTGTTCTGTGTTAGTTATTCCCAGTGTCTGTAGGTACAGGTGAGATGCTGTCAAGGTGCTTACATTCCTAATGGAGGAGGCGGATAGACAGGATCCACTGTGATAAGTGCTCTAATAGAGGAGCGCATGGGAACCTGACACTGGGGGTGAAACAGCCACTTCAGTTCAAGAGAAGCGTCCTCGGCCGGGTGCAGTGGCTCACGTAATCCTAGCACGTTGGGAGGCCGAGGCGGGCAGATCACCCGAGGTCAGGAGTTCAAGACCACCCTGGCCAATGTGGTGAAACCCCGTCTCTACTAAAAATACAAAAATTAGCTGGGCATGGTGGCACACACTTGTAATCCCAGCTACTCGGGAGGCTGAGACAGGAGAATTGCTTGAACCCAGGAGGCAGAGGTTGCAGTGAGCTGAGATTGCGCCACCTCACTCCAGCCTGAGCAAGAATGAAACTCTGTCTCAAACAAAACAAAACAGAAAAGAAGCATCTTCCTCCAAGGAAATGGTGTGTAAAACCACATCAGATCTGCTGTGTTGGCCAGGTGCGGTGGCTCACACCTGTAATCCTAACACTTTGGGAGGCCAAGGCAGATGGATCACTTGAGGTCAAGACCAGCCTGGGCAACATGGCGAAACCCCATCTCTACTACAAATACAGAAATTAGCCGGATGTGGTGGAGCGCGTCCATAATCCCAGCTCCTTGGGAGGCTGAGGCAGGAGAATCTCTTGAACCCAGAAAGCAGAGATTGCAGTGAGCCGAGATCGTGCCATTGCACTCCAACCTGGGTAACAGAACAAGACGCTGTCTCAAAAAAAAAAAAAACAAAAAAAAAAACGCACACACACACACAAAAGCATCTGCTGTGTCTTACCTCCTCTGTCAATGTATATATATATATATATATAGTGGGAGTTAAGCTATGAGGATACAAAGGCGTAAGAATGATCCAGTGTGGGCTGGGCATGGTGGCTTACACCTGTAATTCCAGGACTTTGAGAGGCTGAGGCAGGCGGATCACCTGAGGTCAGGAGTTCGAGACCAGCCTGGCCAACATGGTGAAACCCCGTCTCTACTAAAAATACAAAAGTTAGCCAGGCATGGTGGTGGGCGCCTGTTATCCCAGGTACTCAAGCGGCCGAGGCAGGAGAATCACTTGAACCCAGGAGATGGAGGTTGCAGTGAGCCGAGATCATGCCATTCCACTCCAGCCTGGGCGACAGAGCGAGACGCCGTCTCAAATAATAATAATAATGATGATGATAATAATAATAATAATAATGATCCAGTAGACTTTACAGATTCAGGGGAAAGGGTGGGAGGGAGTAAGGGATAAAACACTACACACTGGGTACAGTGTGCACTGCTCAGGTGATGGGCACACCAAAATCTTAGAAATCACCACTATGTAACTTATATATGTAACCAAATACCACCTGTTCACCACAAACCTATTGAAATTCAAAAAAAGAGTAAGATATACTTACATAGTATCTTACTATTTATATATATAATATAAACATATGGTGTAGTATAGTATACTATATAGTAAACTATACTATGGTTTATACTAGTTTATACTATACTATATATTTTTTTTTCAGGTATTCTGCCTAATTTCCCTATCTCGCAAATAGATTCTAAGGCTTTAGATACTAAACTTTTAAGGTAAACAAAAAATAGGATATTCCCACATTGAAGAAATGTTTTATCAATTGATGGTTTCCTGGAATGACTTTAACACTTTTTTCTGAGTGCTGTCTAATGTAAACACATAAAGTAGCCTTAAATTTATAAGGTTTTTTTTTTTTAAAAAAAATAAAACTTTGTCAAAGTTGTTATGATGAAGTATTATTTTTTCTTGGACATAAATGTGATGAGTCCCACATGCTTTCGTCACCAAATTTGGGGGGTGATGTTATGAATGCAGAATATGGTTTTATAGCAAATTTCTATGTGTTTACGAACGCTACCAAATACAGGCCTAAAAGAGCTACTTTAACACAGCAATGAAAATGTTTACAATTATACGCTGAGGAGTTGACATCCCCTATCTGGCTACCCTTGGACCGGATGTGCTAGGAGACAATCCAGAGGTAGGTCCAGGACATTCAGCAGCAGCCAGATACCTGGATTGCAGGGTTACACACCTGGAAGAAAGACCAGCGAAGATGGCTTAGAGCTCAGCTTCATGGTGGACTGAGCCTGCTTCCCACATGAGAAGCAGCAGCTGCCATGGCTGGAGTCGGAGCTCGTGTGCAAGTTGAAGGATAGCTCCTGGGCATCAGGAACAAACTGTAGCCGATGGCCCAGCTGCAGGACAGTCCGTAGGTGGACCTCTAGGGAAGCAGAAGGGACAAGAAGAATCCTGAGTTCCAGCTGTCTAAGATCTGGTGCTGAAAGAGCAAAAGCAAAACGCTTGAGTGAGGGAGGCCTCAGAGCTGGTAAAGTCCTGCTTTCCTAAGCCATTGGCCAGGGCTGGGGTGGTCCCCAGGAAAAGTGGATGGATGTTCTGGGTAATCCGGACCTTCCTCTGGGTTTCTGACTAGCCTTAGTATATGAACTGACCACACACTTTTTTTTTTCTTATTTCTTTTTTAAATCTTTTGACCACAGACTTTTAAATTAAGAGTTTGGGGCCAGGCGCGGTGGTTCACGCCTGTAATCCTAGCACTTTGGGAGGCTGAGGCGGGCGGATCACGAGGTCAGGAGATCGAGACCATCCTGGCTAACACGGTGAAACCCCGTCTCTACTAAAAATACAAAATTAGCTGGGAGTGGAGGTGCATGCCTGTAATCCTGGTTACTCGGGAGGCTGAAGCAGGAGAATGGCTTGAACCCGGGAGGCGGAGGTTGTGGTGAGCCGAGATCGCACCATTGCACTCCAGCCTGGGCGACGAGAGCGAAAACTCCATCTCAAAAAAAAAAAAAAAAAAAAAAAGTTTGGGAAATGTGTATTAAAATGTTTACAGAATGTTGTAACTTTTCCTATTAATTGGTATGGCCAGTTCCATTTAAAAATACTATTATGGCTGGGTGCAGTGGCTCATGTCTGTAATCCCAGCACTTTGGGAGGCCGAGGCAGGTGGATCATGAGGTCAGGAGTTCGAGACCAGCCTGGCCAACATAGTGAAACCCCGTCTCTACTGAAAATATAAAAATTAGACGGGCATGGTGGCATGCATCTATAGTCCCAGTTAGGAGGCTGAGGCAGGTGAATTGCTTGAACCCAGGAAGCGGAGGTTGTGGTGAGCTGAGATCGCGCCAGTGCACTCCAGCCTGGGCAACAGAGTGAGACTCCATCTCTAAATAAATAAGTAAATAAAAATATTATGGCAGCATACTTTGTTCTATTACATTATATGCAAGATTATTATTAAATCATGTGCTTGATTACAGATCTAACTTGACTAGCTCATAAGTTTTTTGTTTAATTGTGGATCATGAGTTTCTCGAGGGCAAAACCCATGTCTGTATCTCTAGCACAGCACAATGCCTAGAACACAGTAGATACTTTTCATTTCTGACTTAATTAAAAGAAGGTTCACTCAGCTTTTCCCTGCATCTTTAAATTAAATTTGATTTTTATTCTTTCTTTGATGTTACAGCAAAGCGTAGAAGGTTTTCCTCCAAACCAGTTGTACTCACAGAAGCCCAGAAACAACTTATGATATGCCACCTACCTCAGGTTCTCAGACTGCACCTCAAACGATTCAGGTCTGTAGCAGGACCAGTTGCAAAGTGATCACTCCTTGTGCTTATAATGCTTCAAAACTTAAAGATTGCATGTAATAATTTTTTCCCCTTTAATCACCTTTCTGACAAATGAATTAACTTTTAATACCATATACTTGGGTAGTAAATGACTTACATTTGCTTATTTATTTATTTATTTATTTATTTTGAGACCGAGTCTCACTCTGTCACCCAGGCTGGAGATGGGGTTTTACCATGTTGCCCAGGCTGGTCTCAAACTCCTGGGCTCAAGCAATTCACTCACCTTGGCCTCCCAAAGTGCTGGCTGGGCAAGGTGGCTCATGCCTGTAATCCCAGCACTTTGGGAGGCCTAGGCAGGTGGATCACCTGAGGTCGGGAGTTCAAGACCAGCCTGGCCAACATGGTGAAACCCCATCTCTGCTAAAAATACAAAAATGTAGCCGGGCATGGTGGCGCATGCCTGTAATCCTAGCTGCTTAGGAGGGTGAGTCACGAGAATCTCTTGAACCTAGGAGACGGAGGTTGCAGTGAGCCAATATCGTGCCGTTGCACTCCAGCCTGGGCAACAAAGTGAGACTCCGTTTCAAACATACATACGTACATACATGCATCCATAAACATAAAAATAAAAATACAAAAATTAGCCAGGCATGGCGACGCATGCCTGTAATTCCAGTTACTTGGGAGGCTGAGGCAGGAGAATCGCTTGAACTGTGGAGGCAGAGGTTGCAGTGAGCCAACATCATGCCGTTGCACTCTAGCCTGAGCGACAGAGCAAGACTCTGTCTCAAAAAAAAAAAAAGAAGAAGAAGAAAAATGTTGAGATTACAGGCATGAGCCGCCGCACCTGGCAGAATATTTCTAATACCGTAGATGTCCCCTGTGTGTGCCTGTCAGTCTTGTTCCTTTCCCCTCTGCAGAAGCAAACCGTTAGGAATTTTAGGTATAATATTATCTTATTGTTCTTCATCAGTTTATTGTCTTTCTTTCTTTCTTTCTTTCTTTCTTTCTTTTTTTTTTTGGTAGAGACAGGGTTTTGCCATGTTGCCCAGGCTAATCTGGGAACTCCTGAGCTCAGGCAGTCTGCCCGCCTCAGCTTCCCAATGTGCTGGGATTACAGGCGTGGGCCACGGCACCTGGCTGAGAGATATTGGAAAAACCGAACTCAGTTTCTCCTACCATACTCTTACAACAGAGAATACAAATGTGACCTCTGCTTACCAAAATGTGTAGGAGATTTCTCCCCACCAAGCAGGTCATCAGCTCTGCAGTGAGCGCGAGCTGGGTATCCTCTTATACAGCTCAGTTCCAACCCTGTCTACCTGGAGGTAGCATCAGACCCCACAGATTGAGAGCTCAGTCCCACCAGACTGACCCCCACTTCTGACACCAGTCATAACTCCAGGTTTGTGGAAATTCTGACCAACCTGTTGGCTATACATTTAATGGGATTCTCACAAGCCACACTCCCCTCGTTTGATCAATTTGCTAGAGCACCCCACAGAACTCAGGGAAACCTTCATGTTTACCCTTTTATTACAAAGGAGAGTTTCAAGGATCCATATGAACAGCCAGACGGAAGTCATGTGTAGGGCATGACTTGTGGGAAGGGGCGTATAGGTTCCACACCTTCCCTGGGGGTGCCGCCCTCCAGGGACCTCAGCATGGATAGCTATCTGGAAGCTCCAGAAGCCCATCCTTTTGGGTTTTTATGGAGGCTTCAGTACATAGGCATGACTGATTACATCATTCAGCCCCATTCCCTTTGGGGGTTGGGGACAGTATTTGGAAGGAAGCCGAAAGTCCCAATCCTCTAGTCATTCCCGGGTCTTTCCTGTGACTTGCCCACATGCTGAAGCTATCTAGGGGTTGCCAGCCACTAGTTGTCTCATTAGCATACAAAAGACACACTTTTTTTTTTTTTTTTTTTTTTTTTTTTTTTTTGAGCCAGAGTTTAGCTCTTGTTGCCCAGGCTGGAGTGCAATGGCACAATCTCAGCTCACTGCAACCTCCGCCTCCTGGGTTCAAGTGATTATCCAGCCTCAGCCTCCCCAGTAGCTGGGATTATGGGCATGCACCACCACGCCTGGCTAATTTTTGTATTTTTAGTAGAGACGGGGTTTCACCATGTTGGCCAGGCTAGTCTTGAACTCCTGACCTCAGGTGATCCACCCACCTCAGCCTCCCAAAGTGCTGGGATTACAAGCGTGAGTCACCACACCCAGCCAAGACACTCCAGAGATTCCAAGAATTTTAGGAGATGTATCTTAGGAAACTGGAAGGAAAACCAAATATATTTTTCACAACCACACAGAGAGTTTGGAATATGACTTATGGTCCAGCAGATAACATAATTTGCATGGTTCATCTTTAGTTCCATGCCATTTTACACTGGACTAAGCATTTTCACATTTTTTTTTCCATCATAAAACTGTGTTCCTGTCTCTCTGTTCTCTACCTGCTGTTATTTGTCTGAAGTTCATGTTTTAGTACTTTACTACTGTATTTTTATCTATGTCTGCCTTGTCTCTGTACCATACCACCACAAACTGGATTATAATCTCTTGAACTACCACGTTACATTATTTTCCCCTCATAGGACCAACTCATTATGCGTATTGATAAACACATTGCTTGCCATGCTGAGATCCAGTAAGGGGAAGTATGAGCAACAGACTGAGAAAATGACAGGATAAGGGCGTTCTTTCAGTTCTGTAACCAGTGGGCGGTTGTGCTGACTTACACACAGCAAGGGGACACAGTTCCTGTTGTTTTAGTCTGAAAATCTCTGAAGTATTCTGAGGAATTAGAGGTGCCCTGTTTTGTTTTCCTCCATACCTGGCCAAGAAAGATCCAGATTGTAGCTCCCATCTGGGATACCCTCTTCATATCCTGGCAAGACAATAAGGAATTAAAAACCCTTTGGTGGGGCTGGGCACAGTGGCTCACACCTGTAATCCCAGCGCTTTGGAATCCAAGGCAGGCGAATCACTTGCGGTCAGGAGTTCAAGACCAGCCTGGCCAACATGGTGAAGTCCTGTCTCTACTAAAAATACAAAAATTAGCCAGGCGTGATGGCGCACACCTGCAGTCCCAGCAGGAGAATGGCTTGAACCTGAGAGGCAGAGGCTGCAGTAAGCCAAGATCGCGCCACTGCACTCCAGCTTGTGTAACAGAGCGAGACTCCATCTCTAAAACAACGAAAAACAAAAAAACCCCAACCCTTTCGTGGCCTTCACTTTTACCTGTTAGGGGGTAAATGCCCCCATAAGGCAATACTTGCCCAAAAGTTAATTTTTTTTCCCTACATTGTCATCTAACTACAAGAAGGCAAAATAAGCCAAAATTTCTCCGTTTATAGCCAACTTCAGCATTGAAATAATTTTATATTACATATGATACTTTGTATTCCATACTGCCTGGGGTCATCTGTTACAAGTGTCTAGACCTAGTACATGGTTATTTTCCCTTAATTGTGTTGATAATTTCACACTGGTTTGTTCACAGGTGGTCAGGATGTAATAACCGAGAGAAGATTGGTGTTCATGTTGGCTTTGAGGAAATCTTAAACATGGAGCCCTATTGCTGCAGGGAGACCCTGAAATCCCTCAGACCAGAATGCTTTATCTATGACTTGTCTGCGGTGGTGATGCACCATGGGAAAGGATTTGGCTCAGGGCACTACACTGCCTACTGCTATAATTCTGAAGGAGGTATAGATAAGAAAAAGTATTTTATCTTGGGTTGGACTTGGAGGCTGGAGTTCAGGCTTTAACCGATTTCTAAATTGACTACTAAATCATAAACAAAACTACTTGACCACTTACTTTCTTAGGGAGAATACCTCTGCAGATACTAAAACATGAGAGTCGATGCATGAAATATTTTCTGTAGGTTTTGCGGTACTTTTGACTAAGGGCTGGAGAAATATAATAATGAGGATAGTCTTGTTGCCAACTAAAAGTCAGAATGTTAACTTTTCTTAAAGACACACTTCAAAAAGCAGATCGTATGTTTACTGGTTTACTTCAGTTAATTTTGTTAAAGAAATAGGGCACCTAATGAACTGGGGGATCACAGATATTTGGAACAAGCACTGTTCAAGTTTAACATACAAAACTCACTTTTATTTTCCATCTTCTAGGGTAGTCTAGTTCTAGCAAAAGTGATTGGATCGAGATTTCATTTTTTACTCCCCCATCCCCTGCCTTTTTTTTTTTTTTGAGATGAAGTCTCGCTCTGTCACCCAGGCTGGAGTGCAGTGGCGCGATCTTGGCTCACTGCGACCTCTGCATCCCAGGTTCAAGCAGTTCTCCTGCCTCAGCCTCCCTAGTAGCTGGGACTACAGGCATGTGCCACCACACCCGGATAATTTTTTTTTTTTTTTGAGACGGAGTCTGGCTCTGTTGCCCAGGCTGGAGTGCAGTGGCCGGATCTCAGCTCACTGCAAGCCCTGCCTCCCGGGTTCATGCCATTCTCCTGCCTCAGCCTCCCGAGTAGCTGGGAGTACAGGCGCCGCCACCTCGCCCGGCTAATTTTTTTTGTATTTTAGTAGAGACGGGGTTTCACCATGTTAGCCAGGATGGTCTCGATCTCCTGACCTCGTGATCCGCCCGTCTCGGCCACCCAAAGTGCTGGGATTACAGGCTTGAGCCACCGCACCCGGCCACACCCAGATAATTTTTTGTATTTTCAGTAGAGACGGGGTTTCACCGTGTTAACCAGGATAGTCTTGAACTCCTGACCTTGTGATCCGCCCGCCTCTGCCTCCCAAAATGCTGGGATTACAGAGGAGCCACCACACCCAGCCGTACTTTCCCTTTTGATACTTACTGTTGAACAAAGAATGAACTTCCAACTCCCCACCCCCACCCAACACACCCCAAACAGAAAAAGGTGAGGACAAGAAGCCCGATAATCCACCAAGGTAACTCCACACTGAACTACCAAAAACTACCAAGTTAGTTGTACACTATTGGCTTTTTTTGTTTGTTTGTTTTTGAGACGGAGTCTCACTCTTTCCCCCCGGCTAGAGTGCAGCAGCGTGATCTTGGCTCACTGCAACCTCAGCCTCCTGAGAAGCTGGGATTGCAGGTGTGCACCACCACGCCTGGCTAATTTTTATATTTTTAGTAGAGACGGGGTTTCACCATGTTGGACAGGCTGGTCTTGAACTCCTGGCCATAAGTTCTGACGTGATCTGACAGCCTTGGTCTCCCAAAATGCTGGGATTACAGGCATGAGCCACCATGCCCGACCCAATTTCCTTTTTAATACAGATTGAGTATACCTTGTCTAAAATGCTTGGGACCATATGTGTTTTGAATTTTGGATTTTTTTGCATAGACATTATGAGGTATTGTAGGGATGGGACCCATATACACCTTGTACACATTGCCTAAAGATAATTTTCTACAACACTTTAAATAATGCAAGTTTCATAAGTTTGTGTATATTGAGCAATCAGCAAACAAAGGTGTCACTGTCTCAGCCACTCATACAGTCTGGTGGTTTGGCATCAGCATAATTCCTGGCTGATTTATATGCTAATGATAAGCAGTCATTAGCATACTTATGTGCATGTAATGTACATAAGTGCATTATACTTATGTGCACATAAGTTTCACAGTAAAAAAAAAAAGACATTAATACAGTGGAAAAAAATGTGTTCAGGGTTACTTATGACATCACGTTGGCACAAAAAGTTTTGGTTTTGGATTTTTTTTTTTTTGAGACAGCCTCTCTATCACCCAGGCTGGAGGGCAGCTGCACAATCCTTGCTCACTGCAACCTCCACTTCCCGGGTTCAAGCCATTCTATTCTCTTGCTTCAGCCTCCTGAGTAGCTGGGAGTACAGGCACGCACCACCACGCCCAGCTAATTTTTGTATTTTTAGTAGAGACAGGGTTTCACCATGTTGGCCAGACTGGTCTCTAACTCCTGGCCTCAGGTGATCCACCTGCCTCAGCCTCCCAAAGTACTGGGATTATAGGCGTGAGCCACTGCGCCCGGCCAGATTGTGGAATTAGGGATGATCATCCTGTATGATTAGTGGCAAAAGCATTAACTGGTAGATTTACACAAGGAATAAATAGTGTCAGGTACTCTAATCAGTCACATGCTGTGTAAACTTAAGCTACTTCTAGATTAAAGGTAGATAATTCCAAGGTAACACTACCCAATCTATATTTCTTGTTAAAGAAAAATGAATTGGCTAGAAAATTATTTTCCCTTCAGAAAAAGCTTCTCAGTCAATTCATACTAGAATTTTATAAAGTCCCTTCATAAGTGTATTTCTGTGCTTCACCCTAGGGTTCTGGGTACACTGCAATGATTCCAAGCTAAGCATGTGCACTATGGATGAAGTATGCAAGGCTCAAGCTTATATCTTGTTTTATACCCAACGAGTTACTGAGAATGGACATTCTAAACTTTTGCCTCCAGAGCTCCTGTTCGGGAGCCAACATCCCAGTGAAGATGCTGATACCTCGTCTAATGAAATCCTTACCTGATCCAAAGACAATGGGGTTTTCTTCCTGTGATTTATATATATACTTTTAAAAAGACTGATGTACCATTTTAAACTTTTCTTATGAATCAGTGTATATACTACATTTATACATTTTTATATCTAACTACAATTTTTTTTTTAACAAAGTATAAATGTGTATATCAACTGAAGGTAACTACTTTTTTCAAATATTTGGAGTTTTAAACTTTTGGTGTTTACCTCAGGCTGATGTTACCTCTTTTATATTTTTATGTCTTAATTGGCTTGGATCATGAATTTGTGCAATCTTCTACCAACAAAGTTCGAGTGGCATCATTTTATATACATGTGTTATCTTTTTCAGGTATTTTCTATACAAATTCTTAATAGATGGAAAATTAGACTTTGCTTGGTCACTAATAGTCTTTCTTTCATTTGTATATTGAAGTTACCTTGCCCGTTGGAGTTATTGAAGTGACATGTCAAGTTATCACCTAAATATTCTTCAGTCACACTCACTGGTATTTCTGAGGCTTTGTGTGTTAACAGGCCTTGTAATAGACATTATTTTGGTTAATGTAACCCCAAAATTGTTTTAGTAATTGCTATTTGGCATAGTCAAACTATAAATTAAAATGGCAGCTTTACAAATAGTATATTTAAGTGACCTTTGGAACTATGGACATGAAAAAATGATGCCTGGGATTTATGATTTTTGTCTGGCAGCAAACAGGTTTGTCCAGAAGTCTAAAAATTAAGCAGTCATAAAAAGTCTGAATTTAGCAAACCAGTATATGATGTTATTCAAATAGTTTACCTTGGGTATGAGTTCATTTTATAATGTCTGATGACATTAGATCTCTTAAAACTTTATATGTATTTTTTAGTTCAAAGGAATAAAGAGTCTTGAAGAGAAAAAATTACAGGGCAAAAAAGTGTTCAAAATTGGCAACTGGACTATTATGTCTAGCATCTCATTCTCCTAAATAACTAAAGTTTGATTTACTCTTGCTAGGATTATGTGACTACTAGGTAGGAGCCTCTTAAAACACTGGCCCTGAGCACTAAAAAAAATTAAAAGCTATCTAAACTTGCAAAAAAAAAAAAAAAAAAAAAAGCCGTGAGTCATTCTTTTTGTTCTTCTCTGATAATCTCACTGGATTTCTTTAAAGTCCTGTTGCTGCTAACTTTATCTTGTTTGGAGAGGGCAGAATCAACTAATCTGCAGACCAGCTATGTATCTAAGCTCTGTTAACCACAGAAGATCATGTATCCTTTTTTTATAAGTGGGTTTATTTGCAGGTTGAAGTCTTAGTGAAAGATAATATCCTGTAGAATGCTGTTCACCAGTAGTGATCATCTGTAAGTACAAACTTGAAAGAGATCTCTACCAGTAAATAACAAGTCGTCTGGGTTAGCTGAAGTGCAATGAGACTTTTATCACTGAACAGACAAATCATTTGTGCCAAAAACACATCTGGAATATTAAATAGCTGTGTTTAAAATTGTTCATAATACCTATGCAAGTCATTACCTCAACTGTTACACACTTAATACCTCATTAAAAATTTATGTGTTCAAGATACCAGCATCTACTCTTTCCTAGTTTCAAGGACTATTTTTAACATGTTATACATTTTAGCACGTCATTTTAATGGAATTATTGTAAAAACTCCTGAACTATTTGTAATGGTATCATTGCTTGTACTTATTTCAATATAAAAATATACAAGAGGCCGGGCGCCATGGCTCATGCCTGTAATGTAATCCCAGCAGTTTGGGAGGCCGAGGCGGGTGGATCACAAGGTCAGGAGATCGAGACCATCCTGGCTAACACAGTGAAACCCCGTCTCTACTAAAAATACAAACAGAAAACATTAGCCAGGTGTAGCAGCACACATCTGTAGTCCAGCTACTCGGGAGGCTGAGGCAGGAGAATAGCTTGAACCCAGCTGCAGTGAGCTGAGATCATGCCACTGCACTCCAGCCTGGGTGACAGAGAGAGATTCTGTCTGAAAAAAAAAAAAAGAGAAAGTGACTTAACCCTTTACTTTTTAATCCCTTAAAACTAACACCTATGGGGGGAGGCTTGGAGAAGGAGGATATTATTGGGGGATATGGGAAATCTGTTAGTACTTTCCACTAAATTTTAGTGTGAAAAATGTCTCAAAATACCAACAATAAAATTAAAACCTAAATAAACAGAAACTTAGATTTCTTACTATGTATCTTAAATCTCAGTATGGACGTCTACATTTTGCTAAGTTGATCTAACAAAAAACAACATGTTTTAGTTGTAAAATAATTTACTAAAGGCACTATTGTTAAACATCAAACTAATAATTTGTTGCCAATAAAGTACATCGTTGTAAACATAACAAAATTTTAAGAGATACATGGCTAATAAGCAAACAATACAATTTAAGTGACGGCTTTCCTATTTACAAGATCGCGTCCCTTCCAGCCATTACAAGGGCATACAGTGATGCCACTGTTCCCAACAGTTACCTGGGAAGGGAGCTTGGAGCTCCTAATTGGTTTGAGATCATGACTGCCAAGATCTTTAAAAGCTCCAAAAGTCTTCACTCATAAAGGTCAATTCTAAAATTCCTGGGTTTAGAAATCAAGATTCTTGCTTTGAGAGCTGGAGGGCCCAGCCCTGACAGTATGTCCAGGCATGAACTGGCGAGCTCTGCTGCCAGCCACAGCATCACAGAAAATGGAGAAGTTAGTCAAATGTGGCTATTAAACATTAGCACCATAATAAATATAGCTCATACAGCTAAAACCTAGATTGTTTCCCCACAAGATAACATTCATTTATATCTCTAATGCTGAAAGAACAGCTTTTTAATGTAACAGATGATCTAGGTACAGAAGTCATAGGTTTCTCTTCCTAAGATAAAAATGTTTAACAAAATACAAACTAAACAGCATCCCAGAGGCAATAAAATCTCATTGTACTGAAACATACACAAATTAAGGCTACCTTGGTATATAAACGATTTAGAAATTATGATGGAACATTCCCATAAAATTATTTACATGTAAGAATTCAAGCAATTTGTTAAAGAATCAGTAGTGGGCCTCAGTTCAAACAAATTAATATTATGATCGTTACATTCAACTTAATACACTTAGCCGCTATAAGGAAAGTAACTGTCACCTCACTTCCTGAAATACCACCAGTAATGTTAAAAATCCAAACCTGTCAAAGGGCGACGTACTACAGCATTTGCCTATGAATGAAAAAGTCCAATAATTTCAACCTAATTTTTCTAACTAGAACAAGATCCAAACATGGGAGTTTTTTTTTTTCTTCTTTCCTTTTGTGGCTTTAATGCCCTTTTGGTTTTCTGAGCAAGCTGAATACACTCCCTGATAAAAAGGATCTAAACGTTGAGATTTTCACCAAATCAAGGTTTCGAGTTGGCACAATGTTCCTAAGTCAAGTTTCAATTAGCACATCTTTCCAATGTCAGGGGAAAAAACACAAGGACTACTATGTCCTATAAAGAATGGTGAAATATTCCTAAAGCTGTGTATTTATGAAGAAAAGGTGTTTGTCCCTCTTTATGCATGTGTAGATCTTGTTTTAGCCACTATGCCACGAAAGTCTCAGTGTAGAGGTCTACATTTCAGATACATGTCTCTGCATTTGCCTACATTAAGTTTAGCTATTTATCCTGTCCAGAATTATCACCACAAACATTGAGATGTAGCTCTCAGATCTGAAAATGTCTTTATTTTTTAGAAAATGGATTCCAGGAAGGTTAAAAAGCAACACCAGAGGGTATAGGTGCAGAACTGGATGTAGTCATTCAAAGCATTCAAGTAAGAATATGGCAATATAAATATCCAAAAAGTATCTCTTAGGTATTCAAAACAAAACGTATAAGTCATTCCTAACTAATTTGAGCTTTATAGCATTGTCCTAGACAGGAAGGGGAAAAACAGTTAGCATTTAAAAGTCCTGAAAGCTTTTTCGTTGGTTAATTACATTAGATGGTTTGCCTTTGATCAAATTCCTTCTTTTTTAAACATGGATAAAAGTATTACATGGGTCCACTGTTAAAACAGACAACATGTTGCAAATTAATTCTGGTATAATGTTTTCCAACAAAGCTTAGAAAATAAAGGTGTTGAGGTGGCTTTGGACTAAGTTTAATAGTCATCTCCTCTGCTGACAACTTCTTTACATGTTGGACGCAACAGGATGGTATGTTCAAATTGCGCTGTATATGATCCTTTAATGTCACATAATGGTGGATATGGATCTACAATGCCCAAGTCACACAGATTCTTCAGAGCCATCAAGTATTTACTTTCTCCCAAGCGATCCAGCCATCTGCGGCAGAAGGCAAGGGTGCCAAAGTTTTCATTGATGACATTTAATAAGTGTTTTGTTCTTGGAAGCCTAAGAGGAGAAAATCCAAAATTAATTATTGGCAAGAGTTACGAACTGATTTCCCTCATTAAGAAAAGCCCAGACCTTAGCTGTGTCTTAGCAGTTGAAGTCCAAAAACTTTTATTGTTTACGTGTCTATGTGTGTTATATTCCCCAGTAGAGACCTAACTACAGGGTATTACGGGAATTTCCTTTTGTGTGCAGCAAGCTCAAAGACCTGCATATAAAAGATGTAAATCCAGACTTCAATCATCTTCAAATGTTAAAAAAATTCAATGTAAATTGAAAGACACTGTAAATGGAAGTTTACCAATGGGAAAATATTAAACCAAAAACCTAGAAATGCTAGCAAAATAATCTCTGACATTTATGATTATCAGAAACCAGACTTGAAGACAGCACGTGTGTGTGTGTGTGTGTGTGTGTGTGTAATTTTTATCTCAGTTAAAATGTTTAAAAGGCTATTTTTTTTTCTTACTGTTGGGCTACAGAACTCTACATTTAATGAATATACTATTTTGTATGCATGCCACTTTTTAAAAAAATGCTGTTAATTCAGAAGAAATGCTCATTAGCCACATAAATTCCATTGGCTCGTCTCTCACCTTATTGGCACATGTCCAACATCAAAATTTTTCATGTAATGTGAACATTCCATATCATCATGAACAACACCTTTTCCTGTACTACCAAAGGTTTCAATTGCATATACTTCTCCTTCCTGAAAAATAAGGGTCAAGGGGAGAGAAAGAAGAAAAATTCAGAACGAATCACAATTACCATCTCGCTCTCTCTTTTTGAGACAGAGTCTCTCTCTGTTGCCAGGCTAGAGTGCAGTGGTGTGATCTTGGCTCACTGCAACCTCCGCTTCCCAGGTTCAAGCGATTCTCCTGCCTCAGCCTCCCGAGTAGGTGGGACTACAGGCACGTGCCACCATGCCTGGCTAATTTTTGTATTTTTAGTAGAGACGACGACGTTTCACTATGTTGGCCAGATTGGTTTCAACCTCCTGACCTCAGGTGATCTGCCTGCATTGGTCTCTCAAAGTGTTGGGATTAACAGGCCTGAGGCACCGAGCCCAGCCTACAATTACCATCTCTTGAAGTCTCTACCTGATTAAGCAGCAACATGAAGTAGCCCCTGGCAGTCCTTATCTAACCTTGCCTTGCTTTAGCTCCTTTGCACTTTTTGGTCCTTCTGCTTCCCCCTACAAACTTTGTTCACAACTCCACCCCTAGAGCCTACTATAAAGAGACTGACCCCTAGGAATGCTCCATAAATATTCATCAAATGTTGAACAAACAATCCTTTCACAGCCCCAATTTCCACAACTGATTTAGTGCTAACTATACACAATTTGCAAATTCAAATGGCCCAATTCCTGACAGTGTGAATATGGATGATAAGCTAATTTTGGTCAGTATAATTATATATTTAACTATCACGACCTTCTGCTTGGAAGAAAAAAATGTCTTCCATGGAAGTAAAATGTTAGTGACACACATACCTCCATTCTTGTTGCCTCCCCTCCTTTCACAATCGGCACTGTTTTTCCAGCATGTATTCTATATTGCCCAATTGAATGTCCATTTAGATTACGGATTGGTTTCACTGTTATAAAAAATAGGGAAATAAAAGTTATTCAGGATCTCAAGAAGAAAAAACAGATCTTTTACATTTTGGTACAGAGTTCAAGCATTTATTCAAAAACCAGATAGGGCTTTACTAAATAACCTTACATTAAGGTAGTTAAATATAAACTGGAATCTAGTAGAATATAAAAAGTAGTTAGTTGCAGAGTTATTAATACTAGAAGTAGGCCAGGTGCAGTGGCTCATGCCTGTAATCCCAGCACTTTGGGTGGCCGAGGCAAGCGGATCACCTGAGGTCAGGAGTTCGGGACCAGCCTGGCCAACACGGCAAAACCCTGTCTCTACTACAAATACAAAAATTAGCTGGGTGTGGTGGTGGGGGCCCGTAATTCCAGCTACTCAGGAGGCTGAGGCAGGAGAATCACCTGAACCCGGGAAGCGGAGGCTGCAGTGAGCTGAGATCATGCCACTGCACTGCAGCCTGGGCGACAGCGACTCTGTCTCAAAAAAAACAAAAATGCCAGAAGTAAGGGAGGATGGAAGAAAGAATTACAGGATTAAGGGCATAAGGAAGGTCATCTAAGG